ATGTGTGAGCAGCATGGGGCAGTGCCGTGCCTACTTTAACTGTGTGTTCTTTCCCCTACCTGGGAACAGAGCCAGGCCTAGAGGGCGCGTGGAGGAAGAGCAGGATGAACCGGTCAACTGCAAGACCCAGACAAGGTGTGAACCTAGCTCTGCACCTACCAGCCTTGGGTAAGTCTTGGGACCCACTCCGAGGGTCCTCAACAGGGCTCAGAGCACAGGATTGTTGAAAGAATTAAATGACAGAATGGCAGGCATTCCACTCACTATCTGCTACACAAGTACTCAGTGTGTGGTAGACAATGACGGTGATTTGCTAAGCCTTCTAAAGGCAGTCACCATGTGATCCTTCATGTTTCTCCCCAACCAAGTTCCCAGTGCAGCCCAGGAGCGCAGCAGGTCCGAGACTGCCTGTGATGACATTCTCCAGTCACTTCCCTGGTGTCTGCTGATAAGGACAGCTCTCTGGGTGTTGGGTTCCAGCTTGAACCCACCTGGCCCCAGCTGCCTGACCCTGGTGCTGCACTACAGCATCTCTGGTCTGTAAAGTTTTCCAGTTCCTCCCACTGCCCCCGACAACTTCCACAGGGCACTGTTGGCACAGGGCCGCACTGGCACAGAGCCCCAGCACCCTCCTGAGACCGGCCTTTGTCTCGACTGGCAGTTCCTCAATGCAGAGCTGCCTCCCACCCTGCTCCCCTCAGTCATGAGCTCACTCAAGCTGATGCCAAAGAAATCCCCAGGTGGACGGTTTTCAGAAACGTCCTGCCCTCCAACCACTTTGTCAGCTCTGGAAATGCAAGGCAGAAAGAATTTCAAGGCCAGACTCCCGGAGCCCTGAGGGCCAGCTCTTGCAACAGACCCGCTAACGCAGCACATCTGGACAAACACAGCAGCCCACCATGTGCTCTCCATCAGCATCTCACTTCTGCCTCACCACAGCCTGGACCCTGGGGATACTGTCCCTATTTTGCAGACATGGAAATGGATGTTATTCAGCTGAGAAGGAGAGGACCCAGGACTTAACCCCAAATGTCTTAGCTCCAAATCCACTCTGCCTCAGCTTCCAAATGAGCACATGTGCAAGACAGCTTAGACCTGGTCATGCTGAACTGTACTTACATGTTTACCTGTCTATCCTACTGTGGGCAGGGATGGCATTAGGTTCCTTTTTATGCCCTTGAAGCTGAGCACTGAGCCTGGTACGGAGCAGACACCATGTGAAGATGCACCAAGCATCTAGAATACTGCTACCTCACCAAAGGACACCTCTCAACCTCTCCCATGCTTCCTCAACTACGATCTGTTCAGTCACCCTGCAGAATCAGCAGGTTAGATGGCATCCTATCTACTTTACAGCTGCGTAAAGAAGCCCAGAGAGATTCTGTGATCTGTCCAGAGACACACAGCCAGAGAGGATGGGGCTGGACCAGGACCCAGATATTCTGACATCCAGTACCTGGTCTCCTCCATGACATGATCCCAGGGACCTGTAAGCCTAACAACTTACCCAAGGAGGATAATCTACAGGGAGATGGGCAAGGCTCCCAATAGGATGTTTTCCTTCCAATATGTCTTCTTCCTGAAGATTTTCAAGTTCCCATCAACTTGAGGCAGCGTACATGGACACATGAGGAGGCGCTATGGGGCAGAGGGCAAGGGTTCTGTAGCCAGGCAGTCTGGGTTCCAACCCTACAGGGCGTTCACTGCTCTGAGGCTTGTTCGTGCCCTCACCCCTCTAAGTCCTCATCCGTAACATGGTGATATTCCCCATGCTGGTCCCAATGGGTCACTGTGATGATTACATGAGGCAAAGTGAAGACTCAGACCTGGCCTGGCACACATTGGTATTCACTGAATGTTGGTTCCTGTCCCCAGTGAGTGATTTCAGGGACCAGGGAAGAAAAAGGTGCTGTGACACCAGCAAATCCTGAGGCAAGGGCAGGGTCTGAAGATGGAGAAGAATCCACAATTCATCCCAGAGGCCTTGGATCTTCTCTCCACATACCATCCAGGATCCCGGTGTGGCTACGAGGTGCTGACAAGGCACTCCCAGGAGACTGGGAAGGGCGAACTGGAAAGGTCTCAGAGGCCAAAGCAGGCAGAAGCTGCTGTGTTGCCTGTGACAGAATGAGGGCTCAGCATCAAATCCGCAGCTCCCCCTGGGTAGGTGGAATCACTGTCTTCCCTCTCACACATCCCTAAGCTGGACAGTCACCTCCCACTGTCCAGGTCAGGCTCAGGAGACCTGCTGCAACAGCCTCACTCCTGGCCCCTGACTTCAACTGCCAGCCATGCTGGGCACCAGAATGCACTTTCCAACAGAAGACCGGGACCCTACCACAGCTCCCTCTTTCAAACCCATCCCACAGAGACAGTTTTCTAGTCTAGAGGCCTGTGACTCTTCTAGAGCCACCTGCCTTTTTGCACAGGTTGTTCCCTTTGATGAAGACAAAGATACCCTTCTTTGTCTACCAGCAGATTCTCATACATTTGATTCAAGAAGCCACCTCCTCTGTGAGGCTTTCCCAGTCTAACCTGCCCCTCACCCAGGAAAGGCCACCCATGCTGTGAGCTCCCATGGCCCTTGGGCTGCCCCTGTCAAGGTACTGGCCCACTCCTGTGGCCATCTACGAATCGGTGTAGATGGACAGAAAGCTCCCTTCTGCTTTGTGGTGAACATAACAATTGGTGCAACCCTGCAGGATGCTTAGGGCTCTGCCCACTGGTGAAATCAGGTTTAGGACCAGAATCAAAACTGTCTCTGCCTTCTATTGTCGGTGCAATCCAATGAATTTCTGTCTACACAATGTAATACATACTACAAACCACTTTTCATTTATTTGCACATGTAATTCATCATCTTATTTAATACACCAGATCAGTGGAGCAAGAATTAATATCCTCACATTTTAAATAAGTTACTTGTCCCAGGCCACAGAGGTAGGAAGCAATGGGGTGGCAGTAAAATCCGGGTCCTTTGACTCTAAGAGGCTGGATCACTCGGCCTCCAGATTGGTCTCCTGACCTCCAGCACCACCCACAAGCCAGAGACTGGTTTCACAGAATTACCAACCCCACCCTGCTGTATCTGTTTAAATCCTCCAGGAGCTATCCATTGCCTACAGGGTCAAATCCCACTTCTCGGCCTGGCATTCAAGGCCTTGGTGATTTGGTCCCTGCCTTCCCAGCCTCAAGTTCAATTCCAATTCACCACCCTCAAGACCTTGCGACTGCCGATCCACCATGCGGACCACCTGTGCTGTTTTCATGCACAGGTCCTGCACATGCTGATCCTTTTGTGGGAGATACTTCCTGCCTCCCCTCTGTGTACCCACTGACTTGGAAACCCACAGCAGGAGGAACCTCCCATGAGGCCCCTCCCCTGGGCTATTCCCACAGAACCCCTCTTAGGACTTGCTTGGGCCAGGGGGCTTTCAGGGAGGACCCAACCCTCTTTATGAAGTGTCCTCAGTGCCCAGGCCAGCCTTGCTCTGAAAAAGGAAGCATGAACTCTCAAGTGCATCCCCTGTGTTGACCCAGGAGTTATGATTAAGAAGAAAATTGATCTGGACTCTACCACCCACAAACTGTCATTTAAAAAGTAAGAGGAGAAAAGGTCAATCCCCGTCCCTTCCCTTTCCATGTTTGACTCATTTATCAGCTTTTGCCTTTCCTGGTGTTGGAGGAAGGGTAGGTGGAAGCCCGGTGGCTGTAGCATTGCAGCCTTCCTGGGGAGCAAAGTAGTGCCTGGGAATAGGTCAGGTCAGAATGGAGGTGTAGGTTAAACATCAAAGTGTTTCTAGGTTCTGGGATCTGAAGCAGTCAGCCAGAACAGAAGAGGCTCTCAATACCTCCCCTTACAGAAGGGAAACTGAGGCCGGAGAGGGAAAGGAAAATGCCCACAGTTGTCTCTTTCCCAGGTTAGCGGCTGTGCCCTTCCATCATGTCTGCAGCATCCGACAAAGCTCTAGGTTAAAGACTGGAGTGAGCGGTGGGGAGGAGGGTGTTTAGGGTTATCTTTGCGACTTAGGCTCAAAAGCCCAGGAGGCTCCTGCCGCTCTGAGCCCTCCCTCTCCGGTCAGTCCCAGGCGCTGCAAGTCTAGACTTATCCGGAGGGCAGGGCGCACAACGATGAAAGAAGGATCGAAGGTCTTGAGTCACCTCCTCGCCAGGCCAAATGTGGGCTGGCGCTGCTCTCCGCCCGGCTCCAGCAGCGCGGGTTATTCCCACCGCACGCCCTGAGCCTCGAGGGAGTTCTCGCCCTGTCCGTACCAGAGTGACCGCGACTCCGCGAAGCTGAGCAACTTGCCAGCGCCGCACAGTGGGCCAGTGGCCGTCCCAGTTGAAACCTGTGTGTGTGAGGCTCCCACGGCCCCCAGCCCAGCTCTGGGTCCTGCGAGGCGGCGCCTCGGGCATGATCTGAACTGGCAGTCGCTCGCTCCCTACCAGGTCGGAGGGTTGGTCCCCCTCCCCCGGGGGCGGGCTGCAAACGGAGAGCGGGTCTCAAAGCGGAGCCTGTCTCCCCACCAAACAGACACAACTCTCTGGGTCACACTCTTTCCAAGAAGCGCGGAGAGGGCAACGCCAGCGCCCTGTCCCTTCCTCTCCCCAGCCCAGGACCGGAGCCCGGGACCCACCTCTCGCCTCCTCCTCCCAGCCAGGGTCTGCAGGGGAATCCGCACACTCCTCCCAGCCCCTGCCCGGCCAGTCCCCAGGCGCTGCGGATCCCCCCGACCACCAATCCCATCGCAGCCCCTTGTGGTCCTGGGACCCAGGAGGGAGAGGGGAGGGCTGCCGGCGCCCCCGGCCGGGCTGCGGTGGGGAGGACTGGGGCTGTTGCCGAGGAACCGGGAGAAAAGTTTGGAGCCAAGTCGTGGGCCCGAGTGGACAGCGGGTGAGCGGGGAGGTGGGGCGGAGTTGGGCTCTCGGCGCGCACACCCTCTGTGGACACCCAGCCCAGACACGTCGGCAGGCACCGACCACGTATGCGGACACACGCGATGCGCCCACCGATGCCCACAGCCAAGCGCAGGCCCGCAAACGTGGACACCGGCGCAAAGCAGCCGCGCAAAGCCACGGATACACAAAGGCACCAGCAGCGGCGCGTCCCCGACTGCAAATCCACAAAGACCCACAAACATGAGATGCACGTGTCCGCACAAAGACCCACACGGCCCCCGGGCGGAGCCTTTGTCTCCCGCAAGCCCCTTCCCCTGGGTTAGCGTTCCCCACTCCCGCCCAGCCCCAGGCGTCCGGCTAAAGTTGAGGGGCCTTGGCGGGACCCAGCCCCGCCCCTGCGACCGGCGTCCCCCACCCGCCCGCCGAAGGGGCCGCGAGGCTGAGGTCGGGGACTCGGGATCTTCACCCGCAGCGCGAACTCTCGCCCCGTCCGGGGACCCACACCCACCTGGAAGCCTGCGCCGCAGCCGCCTCGGCACGCTCACCCCGGCGGCCCGGCCGCGGGCCCTCCGGCCGGCGCTTTTCTCCCGGCGGCGCGGCCCGCCCCCCGGTCCCCGCCCGCAGCCGGGCTCCCCCCTGCCGGGCGCCGGGTGGCTGCTCGGGCCAGCCGCGGGGCGGCTCAGGGAGTGTCGCCAAAGTGCCAGCCTCTCCCGGCGCGCGCCCCGCCCGCGGAGCCCGAGCCGAGCCCGGGTTCCACTCTAGGGAGCGTCTCAAAAGTGCGCAGCTCCTGCCCCCTCCAGTAGGCTTCCCTCACAGCTTCCTGCATCCCGGATCCCTGCCCCCTCCCCCTGCGCGCCCCAGCAATCTAAGCAGATGGCCTCACTGTCGGGAACATCTGGAGGTCGCCGGAGTACGTGCCTCTGTGTGTGTGTGTGTGTGTGTGTGTGTGTGTAGAGAGAGGGAATTAGTTGCTAGTAAGGAAGAGATGGGGTGGGTGGGTGAGGGCTTCCTCTTTGCTTGTTCACCGCCCTCCCCGTTTTTTTTTAAAGAGTGAAAGAGGTTCAGGGACGACAGGGAGCCAGAAACCAAGAATCTGAAGCAAGAGAAAGACTGGCTGAAAGACGAACCCACAGAGAAGAGAGAGCCCGGCTCGGGCAGAAAAGCTGGCAGGAGAGGAGAGAGAAAGTCAACAGATTGAGTTTTTCTTTTATGGAGGAAACCATTGGCTTCTGGTTAGAGTTCTAAGAAGGGAAACTGGCGTATGAGTAGGCAGCAGTTTCAATCTATTCCCCCTGCTGCAGCTCTTGGGCTCTCACCCCTCTTTATGCTAAAAAGAAAAAAAAAAAAGAAAAAAAAAAAAAGGCAAGGGCCGGGGGCAGGAAAGCATCCAAGACACTTTAAAATGAGGGTTTGCAGGAGAAATGACCTGGTGGACGCATTCCCTAGGAGGGGAGAGTTGGGTGTGTGGGTGGCTCCCAGTGTACACACCCAGACAATGCCTACCTCGGGAGAGGGGCAGTTCACAGGTGGGGGAGTTGATAGAGGCTTTGGTCTTGGGCCCTGGACCTCCCAGGAGCTTCTCCCAGACTTTGGAGGGCCTCGGGGTGCAGAAATTGGGCAACGTCCCCCCTGCAGTGGCCCAGACTCGTTAACACACCCAGTCTGTTTGCTGCTTCTTTCCTTATTACTTTTTCTTATTAAGTAAATTTAAAATTAAAAAAAAAACAAAGGAGTTGCTTGGGCCTGGGTGTGTGCACGCATGCCAGTCTACTTTGGGAAGAAGGAAGACACTAGAGAGATGGTGAGGTAGGAGTAGAGGCCACTACCCTAGGCCTCAGGCCAGCAAAGTCATCTGCTGCCCAGAAAACAAACTGGTCTTACCGGTCCTCCATGCATTCAGAGCCATTGTGTGGTCTTGGGGATGCACTTGGTTTGAGACCTGTGGACCCTGCCAGTTAGGGATGTGCAGAGAAAAGGCTGGGAGCCTGGTCTCATATGTGTGGAAGCAGGGAGAGCTCCCCTCTCTCCTTTCCATTCATCGTCCTCACCTGATTAGAATCCCAGCTTTCAGAACTAGGAGGCCTTCTGTGATCATCCAGCTCACACTCCTCATGAGTCTTTGGGATGGCACCATGGGCCCTTTGGTGTCCAGTGTCTTCCTCACTGTTGGGCTTAAAAGGGCTGCAGGGATTCAACTCCACAACCCCTGGGACCCATAGAGAGGAGTCAGGCCCCTCCCATTTCTCACCTTCCCATTCCTCCCCTCTCTAAAGGCTCCCTGCCTAGATGGGAGAGAGACCTGGATGGGAGCATCAGGTGAAGGCCAAGCTTGGTCAGGATTCAGTTTCCAGCCCTGCCACTTACCAGTTCTGGGTAACTTTAGGCAAGTTACCTAACCTCTCTGAGACTCAGTTTCTGCAACTGTAGAAGAGGCTATTCTGAGGAATAAACAAGGTAATTTAGGTAAAGCATTAGTCTGGCTCACAGGAAGCTCCTTTGTGTGGTTGCTAAATGTCTTCCGTCAGGAGCTGGGGTAGAGGTTGGAAAGCCCAGCAGGCTTGGGAGGGGAGCGTGCCTGGGAATGGCCTCCGTACTCCCTGGCTTGTCTGGCTTATATTCCTGCTGCTTCCTCCCCTCCCATAGGGACATTCTTTGGAAGGAATGGCACCCCCCTCCCCTTGCCCTGAACTGACGATTTCCATCCTCTACTCCATGTGGAATTGTTTAGTGAGTCTCAAGTTCAGCATCTGAGAACTGGAGATGAAAAGACCCAACTGCCCGGGAACTCAGGGAAGCTAACTCCCACTGCATTGTGTGTGCAGGGTCTAGCCAGCTGGGCTGGAGGCTCCAGACCTCACGTTTAACACAAAAGTGATCAACAACCCTTCACACTTTGGCTGGTAGCTGGCAGCAGTTTCTGAGCACTTCCACATTCATCATTTCCTTTGATCTCCCCTTAGGGAGAGGTGGCCTTGAGGGGCTTCAGCTGATGGATCTCCATGAACTTTACCCACCTCCCCTCATAACTGTGCCTCCAGTTGAGAATCTCTGTGCCTCTAGACTCTCCTCTCCTTTCTACTGTCCACATTCCAGCAAGAGTGCCCTTTCTAAACTGCAGATCTGCAAAATGGATCATGACACTTGCCTGCTTAAAACCTTTCAATAGCAAAAGCCAAACTGCTTGGCGTAGCATTCAAGGCCTGTGTGATATGCCCCCACCTCACTTTCACTCTCCAGCATCAGTTCTGGCCACCCCCTCACACACGTCTCAAGCTCTAGTCCCCTAGTCACCTGGAAAGAAGGGAAGGGAGGTGGACCTTCTCCATTCAAGTCTGTTCAGTGTCCTCGCCCCCGGGGAGCTCTCTCTCTGGTGAACTTGGCCTCTCCGTCTGTGATATTGCCATGCCCTTTGTATGTAAGCACCATCATTTTCACTGTTCTCTTCCCCTTCTTGTGATCATCTTGGCCACTGTGACATGTCTGAGACTGTGCTGGATACGTTTAAGATCATGATTTAATCCAAACAACCACAGTAGATGGATAGTGGTGTGGCCCAGAAAGGGCAGGAGATCTGTCTGGGGTTACGTAGCATGTTCTCTGCAGAGCTGGAACAACAGTTAGGGCTCCAGTGCTCTTTCTGTTGCCTTACAATCTCCACAAAGAGCAGAGGTGGCGTAGCAGAAAGGCCTGGGAGTCTAAGGATTTCAGGTGCAAACCGTCACTCTATCCCTGGCTAGCTGTGGACTTTGGGTAAGTCATTTCCTCCTCTAAGCCACAGTTTCATTACCTGTAAAATAGGGATAAATAAGAAGTCCTACCTCCCAGGGATATCGGGGTGATCAAAGGAATCAATACAGATACAAATGTGTTATAAGCCATAGGGTGCAGTGTGCTTTTATTTATTTATTTAGAGATGAGGTCTTACTCTATCACCCAGGCTGGAGCACAGTGGTGCAATCATACATAGCTCACTGCTTCCTTGAATTCCTGGGCTCAAGGGATCCTCCTGCCTCAGCCTCCTGAGTAGCCGGAACTACAGGCACACCACCACCGTGCCTCGCTAATTTGTAAATTATTTGTAGAGACGGGGGTCTTATCTTGCCCAGGCTGATCTCGAACTCTTGGGCTCAAGCAGTCCTCCCGCCTTGGCCTCCCAAAGTACTGGGATTACAGGTGTGAGCCACCGTGTCTGGCCGTGGTGTGATTTCAACTGACTTACCTGAACAGCCATACTGCAGCTGCGGGTGATCTGTTGAAGATCTCTTTTCTCGAAGAGCTCTCGAGTAGAGGTCAGAAGACACTATTCGTCCCTTCAGCTGCTTTGCTCATTTTCCATGTTTTGAGACAGGCCTTTCATTTTCTGTCCTTCATTATAGCTGTCAAGCCCTGACCAGAAAACTCTTCAGATCCTATGTATCTCCGTGAGCCTCCAGGATCTCTATTTTTCTTGCTGCATTTTCTTCTTTTCAGCTGTCAGAAGCTGGCAGGTCTTAAGTTAATAGAGCATCAGAACCATGTGTGGAAATAGCAGACAACAAGAGCCGGAAGAAAAAGGATGTGTCTCCACGCCCGCCCCCAACCCTGACTCTGTAGATGTGGCGTGTGGCAGGTTATGTTTTCTAAAAGTTCCTCTGGTGATTCTGATGTCAGTACGAGGGCTGTGGGACATGACCGAATACCTTGGAGTTGGAAGACCTTCCACGCATGTTCTTGTTAAACCTCCGAGCAGGCTTCTTAGGTAGTTGATTATTCCCTCCATTTTACAGATGTGGAAACTGAGAGTCAGAAGTGACTTACCCAGGATTGCACAGCTAGAACTGAAAACTGGCTCACAGACAGAACTCCAGCCATTCCTCTGCCAGGCGGAATTCTGTGTCTGGGCTTTGCTGGTGTCTCAGCAGTCAATGCATGACAAATGCTTCTCCCATCCTGCCAAATCAAATGCTTCCCTAAATATTTCTCTCCCACTCTTCCACCTCCATGCTTTTTCCCCTGCCTGGAATGCTTTTCTCAGTTCAATCTACCAGCTGCAGTTTTCGCTGTCCTCCAAGCCCTGCCACCTCCTGCACAAAGATGTTTCCATTTTCCGCAGTTTCTCTTCCTTTGAGCCTAGAAACACTTGGTCTGTGCCTCAGTACAGCTGTCTCTTCAGCCCTATCTCCTGCCTCAACTTGATGCTCCAACATCCCCAGCTGTTGGGATTTCCTGCAGCTTCTGGCAGTTCCTTGCCACCTCTGGGTCTTTGCTTCTCTTTGTGCCTACAGAAGTGCCCCTTGCCCTGCCCCATCTCTTACTTATTATTCAAAATTCAGCTCAGGTATCACTTCTTCCAGGAGGCCTCCCCTGACCTCCCCAACCCCTAATTCTACCATTAGGAGCCCTTCCTCTGTGATGCCATAGTATACCGAGGATACCTCTGTAATGAACAAGATTGTTCATTCGTTCACCCATTCATTCATTATAGCAAGGTGCAGACTCTGGAGCCAAACCTCAGGTTTGAACCCTAGCTTCAAAGTGGGCAAATTCTTAACCACCCCACCCTGCCTTACTATCTGTAAAATGAGGAAAACAATAGTCCCTACCTCAAACGTTATTGTAAGGATTAAATGAATTATCTGTATAGCATGTGTATAACACTGCCTCGAATGTAGTAACACACTAATACATTAGTAAGTATCTGATGAATGTTGGCTACTACTCTTACAACTTGTTAATTCACTTTACAACATAGGAAAAAACGTTTGTAAAAATGGACAGAGAAGAGGATTCTGGGTAGATGGCGGAGTAGGAAGCATCAGGAATCCATCTTCCCACCTAGACAACAATTGCACTGGCAGATCTGTCTGATGTAACTGTTTTGTAACACTGGAGTCTATTGAAGGCATGAAACTTCCAGGGGAAGTCTGGGAC